ACACTGACTAGAACAAACTGAAAATTTCAAAGATATGAGATTGGAAATTTTGTCTTCTGAAATTAAACTCGAGTAGCTCAGCTATCCTTCAATGTGAGTAAAAAACTATCAATAAAAACTCTAGATGCTGTTAAATAAAATAAGACCCGAAGCATGTAAAGCTTCTTACTCATTTTAGAGACTTTATGGGGTCTTCCTGCTAGGCCCCACTGTAAACACACCTGGTACTCACTACAGTTCTGTCCTCAGCATTCTCCTTTTCTGTTCTACCATCACTTATGCCTACAGCTTAAAGAACCTTCTTAGTACTGATGACTCACATTTTTAAAAAATTTCTAGCCCAAATCTCTCTTCTGCCCCCGACTCATATTCCAATCACATGCTGGACACCTCCACCTGGCTGTTTCCCAAACACAATAGTATTAAAAGTATATGAAACAGAATCTATTCTTGGCTTGCTGAAACCTGTTCCTCTTCCTGTATTTTTCTTTTTAATCTTATCATGGCGGCACCTAGTTTCCTAAGTTTGGAGTCATTTATAACACTACCTTTTTCTCACTCCATGTTCACCAAATCCTTTTGATTTTACTATTATACAAGCTCTCAATTCCATCCTCTTCTCTCAACCCTCACTGCCATAGATCTACTTCAGGTTCTCATCTTCTTTCATCTGAACTACCACAACTAGTTTAAATTCATTTCCTTGCCATAATTTCTTCTCTCTTTCCAATCCATCCCCCATGTGCCTAGAAATCAGCTCAAAGAACAAACGATGTATATAATAATGTCCATTGGCTCTTAAATACCTAAAGTTTGAATTCTTTCCCATGGTTGTAGCCTCAATTTCCATATTTTCTACTTCCCCTTCTTCCCCAAAATATCCTATACTCCACATATACTCACTGTTCCATGCATGTCAGACAATTCTGGGTCTTGGTGCTCTCTCTTTTCTTTCTTTCTTTTTTTTTTTTGCACAAGTTGTTCCTTCCTTTTATGGTGTCCTTAATTAACTCCCTTCTTTAGAAGTAAATTCTTATTCTTCCTAGAAGATCCAGCTCAAATATTGCCATTTCTGTGATGCTTCCTCATCTCCACAGAGCAGTTCCCTCCTCTAAGTTTACATCTCTATTAAAATTCTGTTAATGTTTGTTAGTTAATTAACTAATTACATTTTAGAGATGAAGTCTCACCCTGTCATCTGGGCTGGAGTGCAGTGGTGCAATCATAGCTCTCTGCAGCCTTGAACACCTAGGCTCAAGTGATCTTCCTGCCTCCTCCATCTCCCAAAGTGCTGGGATTACAGGTATGAGTCACTGCACCAGGCCAATATTGTATCATGATATCTGTTTTCATCACTTGATCTGTATCACACAATATACAGGTACAGAGTGGTATTATATAAAGGTTTGACATATGAATAAACCAATTTCTACAATCAGGCTCAGTTTTCTACTAATATATTCAAGGAAACTTGGAAAAATTACATTACAAAATATTTGGTATCTCTAAATAAATGAATGATTAAAAAATAATACCTTGGGAAACAAACACATTGTTAGTAAAGACTATGGATTGGTATAACTCTAAGGGCAAAAATTTGTCAATGTCCACCAAAATTAAAAAATGTACATACTCTTTAGGCAATTCTAAACCTAAGAACTTATTCTATTTTTTTGAGATGGAGTCTTATGCTTTCGTCAGGCTGGAGTGCAGTGGTGTGATTTTGGCTCACTGCAACCTCCGCCTGCCGGGTTCAAGTGATTCTCCTGCCTCAGCCTCCCAACTGGGACTGTAGCTGGGACTAGAGGCACACGCCACCACACCCAGCTAATTTTTGTATTTTTAGTAGAGAAGGGGTTTCACCACGTTGGCCAGGATGGTCTTGATCTCTTGACTTTGTGATTCGCCCACCTCGGCCTCCCAAAGTGCTTCGATTACAGACATGAGCCACTGCGCCCAGCCAGAACTTATTCTATACTTACACATTTGGGCAAAAACCACCTACAAGGATATTCATTGCAGACAGAACTGGTTGTAACAGCAAAACAGTTGAAATAAATCTCTCTCAAATGGGACTGGAAAACAAAGGTGCATATAGACAATGGAATACCACATAACTATTAAAAGGAATAAGGTAAGTCTATATGCATTTGTTACAATTTACAAAACAATTTTTCAAGTGAATAAAGATACAGAAGAATGTGCATGATATGCTGACATTAGTGTCTTTTCAAATGCATTTTATTTTCTTATTTTTATTTATTTATTTATTTAAGAGATGGGGTCTCTCTCTGTTACCCGGGCAGGAGTGCAGTGGTGTGATCACCACAGCCTCGAACTCCTGGGCTCAAGTAATCCTCCTGCTTCAGCCTCCCATGTAGCTGGGATTACAAGTATGAACCACTATGCCCTGCAACATTTGTGTCTTTTTTTTTTTTTTTTTTGAGACAGTGTCTTGCTCTGTTGCCCAGGTTGGGGTTCAATGGTGTGATCACGGCTTACTGCAGCCTCTGCCTCCCAGACTCAAGTGATCCTCTTACCTCAGCCTCCTGAGTAGCTAGAACTTCAGGCATCTGCCACAACACTTGGCTAAATTTTTTTTGTTTCCTTTTTGTAGAGATGGGGTTTTGTCATGTTGCCCAGGCTGGTCTTGAACTTTTGGGCTCAAGGGATCTGCCTGCCTCAGCCTCCCAAAGTGCTGGGATTATAGGCGTGAGCCACTGTGCCCAGCCATCTTCTCTTTTTAAAAGCTACTAATGTTGGCCAGGTGCGGTGGCTCACACCTGTAATCCCAACACTTTGGGAGGCATAGGCAGGCAGATTCCTTGAGCCTAGGAATTTGAGACCAGCCTGGGCAACATGGCAAAACCCTGTCTCTACAAAATAAAAATTAAAAAAATGAAAAGATAAGACATCTTATATATATTTGTGTATGAACTACAATCCCTCTAAAAGAATGCATAAGAAACTGCTTACAGTGGTTGCCTCTGGAGAGAAGAACTGGGAACTGGGGTCAGCAATGGGAGAGTTAACTTTTCACTGAATATCCTATTGTATCTTTTAAATTTTGCACTGTGTATGCAAATGATGGTACATAAATGATGCAATGAAACTTTAATAATAAAATGCCAATTGATTTCATAAAACTTTATAATCAAATATTAGAACACCTTTAACAATAATTTTCAGTCTTTTCTTGTTCATAGATTTTTTTTTTTGTTTTTTGGAGGGGTAAAGTCTGCAGAAACTGTTCAGTCCTATTTAAACAATTATTCAGTAATCATTAGGTGCTAGTGATGCAAATATAGGAAGACATGAGACTAAAAGAGCTCGCAATCTAGTAGGCAGAATGAACATGTATTCAAACAGTCTCAATATAAAAAGTTACTTCTCAAAGCTTCTTTAATAGCAGCTGAGTATAAACCCAGCATTACAGAGACTGCCTTCTGGGTTAAATCAGCAAAAATGACAGCCCAACAAGAAAAGGATAGGGAAGTGTGACCATGATTGAAAGTAGGAAGCAGGTAGAAGTAAGACCAGAGACCAATGTGAGTAGGCTAGGCTCTGGCCAAGTGACAGTGATGAAGAAGGAGCTGTAACTTAACAATTAACGGCACTAGAATTATCCAACATGATTTTGAATAGCTGACAGTATTATGTAATAAAGCAAGAAAAAAGGAGCAGGTATGAGTGATTAAGCAAATATTTTATATAGACTACTGATAAACCAAAAACATTCCCACGCTCTGCTATTCTTTTAAAAAATAATAAGCTCTTATTTTAGCAATTACATAAGACATGACATTTTATGGTAGCTGGAGATGAGACACAATCAGTGGGTTTTGCAATAAAGTTAGAATGAAGTGATGAAGCATTTAATATATGTTGTTAATTTTTTCATGTACATTGTGGTAAAATATTATTCCTGCCACAGAATAAAATATAAATAAGATAATAGTATTTTTCACCTTGATAACATCTTTTCATCTGGAAAAAAAGGAGCAGGCATGAGTGATTAAGTAAGTATTTTATATAGACTACTGATAAACCAAAAACATTCCCACATTTAAAGCATTTGCAAATATCCATTAATCCCCAATATCCTGATTAGATACATTAAAGAAGCAAGCTGGGGTACAGAGAAGGTGAACAGCTCAAGGTCAATTGATAAATCAATAAAAGATTTGGAAAAAGATATACATTCTGGTTCTTACTCCAAGTTCTGAGTTATAAGTCATATTCCCATTATAAAATGTTTCTTCTCTTAAAAGAACTGCAAAAGTTGTTTACCGTTGATGTTAAATAACAAATGATTAAACAGAGTTCAATAAATAGAAAACAAATGTAAAAACCAAAGAAATAGAACTGGGCTGATTTTGTATCAATAAAGGTTCTAGTCTCATTTGTTAGAACAGAATGAGAAAAAGCATTATTAAATTCTAGGGTTGGGAGGGCCTATTTAATTGTATTTTCCCAGACATTGTTCTATTTTTCTATGGACTAAGTTATTATGTCTAATACCTATTTTAGTCCTTATACAATCTTCCCTGCAATGCAGCTATTTTAATTAACAGAACACATGTATTATTGAACATCAAGGAAATAACCAAAACCATAATTAGGCATGCAGTACAGTGTATTGTAAATAATTATGATTCTTACATGGGAACAGAATCCTCTACATTTTATAGGGAATTGAAGATAATAAATCCACATAGTATCATAATGAACTTAATGATTATTTACTTTAAAAAAAAAACCATGAAAAAGGAAAATTAAGTGTTTACATACAATCCACGGCACTTTTCAGAAATTTAACTTCTGTATTTTATTCTATTAAAAAGTGATTAATTCTTAATATTACTTTTGATTTATTGTAGAACAAGACTCATTAGTTCCAAGCAGAATTTGGTAAGATTGAAACTCTTTTTAAAAAATTTTAATTATTACATGCTGAATTTTAATCAGTGAAACCAAAGGTTTTCTTCCTGAATGCCTACCTGCGCATTGGCTTTCCTTCCATGCACCATGAAAAGTACCCTTCACCACACTCTAAAGCCGAACCTAAGACAACAGAAAAGCAGGAACTTAATAAAAGCTATTTCTGATCTTTACAGTAACAATCTTTATCTAATCATTTCACTCATTTCGTCAGTTATCAAGAGTTTCATATTCTATATCACAGGCCTTTTGCAGATGCACAATAACTTAACCTAGTACATTTAAGATTACCATCCTTACTCTGCATGCTAAAACGATTAAAGTAAAGGGGAGGTAAAGTATGCTAAATAGTCCCGACTGTTAGGTCAGTCTTGTTCCTCTTCAAAAAGTGCTTGGAGATATTTAACTGTGATCTCGCCAACAAGCATATTTACAGAGCAATCACCAGATACCCACAGCAGTACTAACCTGATAGATCACATAGAGAACACGCTGCTTTAACAACGAATCTGAAGGTTGTTAACTTGTCCCGAAGTGACAGGAGGAGGAGGAGGCGTCGGCATTTGCCTTTACAAACAACTCCGCTTCCGACAGCCCAGGGAGCTTGAACAGGGCAGGGAAAGTATGGCTCCAGACTAACACTCTTTACATGCATTTCCTTCAGTTCCCGAAACAATGTTCACTACCCACGTAGCAGGATTTCGCCAGGTCCCGAGGGTTAAATGGGGGCGCACAGTACTTTCTTCCTTCCCTGAATTCCAAACACTGTCTGGGGAAGCTGTCCAGGGTGCGGAACCCCAGCACTACCAAGCAGGACACAGCCCAGGGCCTCCTCTGGCTTCCGAGATAGGCTGTCAGCCAGCGAGAGCGCACTCTGGCGCTCCGCGAGGCCCGGCCCCAGCGCCGCAACAGTCTCTTCTCGGCGCCGACAGACAGGCGACCGACGAAGCACAACCCTGACTGACCCCATGGGGCAGCTCAGCAACTTGGCACCACATATTTGCGAAGCGAGCCCTGGGGCGCTGTCCGCTGTCCCCTGCTCTAAGGCGGCTGGCTCACTTACCGGCTCTGACACTTTCTTCTCTGCCGCAGCCTCCTCCGTCTACTCCGCCCTCCACTCCTCTCTGCCTCCTCCTCCACCGCTGCTAGCTCAGGCAGGATGCCGCTCTTAAAGCTATTTCCTTTCCCTTCACCCGCCCATGTCCAGAAGCAGGAAGTAGTCCTATTCTTAAATCGTTCCCGCAGGAAGCCACATACTCCGCCAAGGGGTTCCGGTGCGGCTCCGGAAGTAGTCGTGCCCTTTGTTGGGGCATTCGGGTAACCTCAAAAGCTGTTTATCCTCGTGGGGGTTGTTTGTCTCCCAAGAGTAACCATTTTTAGAGTTCACTACGGAACTGGCAGTGTTTGAATACTGAAGCCTCCTCTTTGTTTTCGTCAGCAAAGGCAGTAGTCAAAGGGTAGTCACAGAAAGCTAAGAATTTTTATCTCTTTTTAGTTGGTGGGTCTCCTTTTGGCACAATGTTCCTAATTGTGGATTGGATTATTGCATGCACACATGGGTTGGCGTGTATCTGTCAGGACTCTACTATGTGCAAGGTGCAGAAGTTACATAGACAGATCAGAGATAGCCCTTACTCTCCAGATTTCCCACAGTCGAACTTTCAAGACACCAGGATTTTATCCAGGCTCTAAGGCTGTGTTAGTTTGCCCTTTCTACTTAGTATTCACCACCAGACACTTCACCAAACGCATCTTCTGTGGATTCACTTTAATGTTAGGGAGGGAAGAGTATATTTTCTTAAAAAAATTTTTTTTTCAGTAGCAAGCAGAGCCAAAAAAGTGTATTTTTCAAGTTATCTTTTCCTCCAGATTTTCCCATAGCACACAATCACCTGAATTTTACTGTATATTAATATTTAGAAAACAAGTGATACAAGTGTAAGGTGGGGATTACTATTTCAGGAATGTCAGAGAAAGACTGTTGATGATTTCCTGATAAGTATACTTGGCTAAGTATTAACCAGATTTTCTTTAACTGTTCTTTATGTAGGATCTACACGGGTTTGTCTAGTTGTTTCTGAGGGGAAAGGATACCTCTTGTTAATTAGCTTGTAGTGGAAAATGCATGGCCTTTAGATCCAGATATAGTGGCCCAGTGGATTCTTCTTGCCTGCTGCCCAGATACAGATGATTTATCAAGGTATAGGGATTGCAATAGAGAAAGAGTTTTACACAACATTGAGTGGAAAAATGGAAGAAGTTTTATTGTTATTCAAATCAGTTATATTATTACTCAAATCAGCCTCCTGGAACATTTGGGGGCTAGGGTTTTTTCCAAAAGTGGTTTGGGGAAAGGGGTAGGGATGGCTAGGGAATGGGTGCTTGCTGCTGACTGGTTGGGGGTGCAGTCATAGGGGTATGGGAGATGGTCCTCCTGCCTACTGAGTCATTGCTGGGTGGAGCCACAGGAACAGTTGATGGGTCCAGGTGGAGCCATCAGTAGTCAAACATGCAAAAAACTTAAAAATATACCCCAAAAAGCCAATCCTAGATTCTACAATAGTGATGTTTTCTGCAGGAGTAATTGGGGAAATTGCATATCTTATGACCTCTGGAATAATGGCTGGCAGTCACTTATGTCTACACTTAACAGAATTCAGGCTCATCTATCCCTCTAGTCTGGTGGTTTCTCATTAGCTTTACAAAGGCAGTTGAGTTTTGGTGAAGGACTATAATTATTTAAACTATTAAACTAAATGTCTCCCAAAGTTATCTTGGCTTAAGCCCGGGAATAATTAAGGACAGGCTGAAAGCTAAAGGCAAGATGGGGTTTGGCTAGATCAGATCTCCTCCACTGCTATAATTTTCTCACTGATAGAATTTTTGCAAAGGGGGTTTCAGTTTGCAAAGGCGATTTCACAGATACACATAAGTATAAATCCTAGACCTGTAACTGACTAGCTTTGTGATCTTATTCGAAATTTTTACTGCATGTGTATATGTGATATATATACAGATGCAGCAAAATGATTTATTTTCCACATTTTAAAACTTTAAATAAATTGTATCAAAGCATATGTATTCTTTCACAACTTCCATTTTCCACTCAACATTCTGTTTGTAAGATTTCTCCATGTTGATCAATGAAGGTACAATTCGGTGATTCTCAAAGGGCGGTCCTGGACCAGCAACATCAACATCGTTTGGAAAATGCCAACCCTTGAGTCCCACTACAGACCTATTGAATCAAAAACTGAAGGTGGGCCCCAGTAATCTGTGTTGTAACAAGTTCTCCAGGTGATTATAGTGCACGGTAAAGTTTGAGAACTACTGCACTAATTTATTTATTTTCACTGCTATATAGTATTATATGAATATACCATAGATTTTAAAAAATGTTTTTTCTGCAGATTTTGACTATTTCCAGTTTTCTCTATTACAAACAGTGCTACAGTGTAAATTCTTGCATATACCGCCTTGTGTACACCTGTGAATGTTTCTTTGGTGTGTGCACGCAGAAGCAAAATTGCTGGGTTGTTTGCTATGCACAGCTTCAACTGTATTAGCACTAGTCAAATTGCTCTCTAAAGTCATTATTCTATTTCAATAATAATAATACTAGCAAATACTTATGTAGCATGTTATAGTAACTTGTCTTTACTTACACTAGTCCTCTCGAGGTAGGATCTATTATCATTCCTGTCTCACAGATGGCACCAAGGTGTTATGTAAGTTGCCCAAAGTCACACAGCTAGTTATGAAGTAGAGCAAGAACTTAAAACAATACACAATGGCTCTAGAGTCTGTGCTTTCAGTTACAGTGCTGTGTTGTCTCTCCATTACAAGTGTTTGAGGGTTTTAGTTGGTCTATATTATCATCACAGTTGGTGTTTTCCAAATTTAAATTTGTTTTTGCCAATTGGATGGGTATAAAATGGTAATTCACTGTGGTTTAGATGTTTATTTCTCTCATCACTGTTCAAACATTTTTCATATGTGAAAGTGGTATTCAGATTTCCCTTCTATGAATTGCTTATTGTAAAAGATACCTTCAAAGTGACTTTTATTTTTTCTGTAATATGAATTATATTTATAATTCATAGTATAGGTATGAAAATGTTACTATATGATATAAAAATGTTACTAAAAATGCTGCTAACCAAAGACTGATTTTAAAACTCTTGTCTAGCATAAGAGCAGTCCCTCCTATTTCTGTAAATCTGTGGTTCACTCCCCAACCCACTGCAATCTGGTTTGTGCTTCTGCTACTCTGCTTCTTTTTAAAGTGGAGAAGTTCGGTGTGAATCAACCCTTTTTATTTATGTCAAGAACTAGAGAACTCCTTTTAGAAATGTGTATATGGTAAACCTGGCATTTGCAGTAATTACAGTTTTTCTGCCACCTGAGTAAGACTATGCCCTACGGGAGCCTGAATTTCTAGTTGAAAATATACATAAAATAGATTTTACTTAGATTGGCTGTGTGAAAGGAAAATATCTTGGGCCCCCCAAATCACTAAGCTAAAGGGAAAAGTCAAGCTGGGAACTGCTTAGGGCAAACCTGCCTCCCATTCTATTCAAAGTCACCCCTCTGCTCACTGAGATAAATGCATATCTGATTGCCTCCTGTGGAGAGACTAATCAGAAACTTAAAAGAATGCAACAATTTGTCTCTTATCTACCTATGACCTGGAAGCCCTCTTCCTGCTTCGAGTTGTCCCGCCTTTCCAGACCGAACCAATGTTCATCATACATATGTTGTTTGATGTTTCATGTCTCCCTAAAATGTATAAAACCAAACTGTGGTCTGATCACCTTGGGCACATGTGATCAGGACCTCTCCTGAGGCTGTGTCACAGGTGCATCCTCAACCTTGGCAAAATAAACTTTCTAAATTAACTGAGACTTGTTTCAGATTTTTGGGGTTCATGGGTGTGAGGTAGTGACAACAGCCAAATAATTCTTTTAAGGGGTTGCTGAGTTTACCTTATAGTTTTTCAATCAAAAATTATGTCTTGTTTCCAATGTATAAAATACAGTGGTTGAACCTAAGGTTTAGTTGTAGGTGAGATCCACAGGGCCCATTGTTTGTGGAATTTTCATTCATTCATTCTTCTTCTTCTTCTTCTTCTTCTTCTTCTTCTTCTTCTTCTTCTTCTTCTTCTTCTTTTTGAAGCAGAGTCTCAATCTGTTACCCAGGCTGGAGTACAGTAGTGCAATCACAGCTCACTGTTGCCTCCCCCTCCTGGGCTCAAATGATCCTCTCATCTTGTTATGGTAGGTGGCTAGCCAGGCATGTGCGAGACAGGAGAGGGCTTCCCCCACACCTCACCAGGAATGTCAGGCCAGGCAGTTGTCACACTGCCTCTCTAATACAATAATTGGTTGCAAACAGCACCAGGGAGAGGCAGTTTCCCAATAGATAAAAACACCTGAAACCGGTGGCAGCTTCTCAATAAGATCTCAGGAATTGGGTGAGTGAGCTCCAGCATGTGCATTAAAGGGCAAAATGGCAGAGTTTAGCTGGTATATGACCTTCCGGGGGCATTCCACCAGAATGGGAAGAACGCCTCAATTGAGCATGTGTACAGCTCCAGTAAACATACTCTGCATGCTCCCCTCCCAGGCACTAGCAGGCCATTGCACATGTGGACAACCCACCCCAAGGGAAGAATCAGGGCAGAAGGGATGCAAGACCCCAGAAGTATGCCAGCATATAAAACCCTAAGTCAAAAGGTCAAACTTCACACTTGTTTTCAAGTTGCCTGCTTGGACCTCTTCCAGGTGTACTTTCCTTCCTTTCACTCTTGCTCTAAAACTTGCCTCCGTCTCTTCTGCCTCATGGCCCTCAGTCAAATTCTTTCTTCTGAGGAGGAAAGAATTGAGGTTG